AATCTGCTTCGTGTCTGCTAACTTAAGGTGGGAAATGTGAAGGACAAAAGAATTTGAAAATTGAACAAGAAAAGAGGCTTTTCGGTGAAGTCATACTACAATTTTATTGTCAAAAAATGGTGAGGCCAATGCCAAGTCAGCACTGTTTAAGCAAATATGGAGAACAAAAGCACCACCTAGAACGGTTTTTTTCATTTGGGAAGCTGTTAAAGAAAAAATCTTGACCATTCATATGTTGAGGAAAAGAGGTATGATGATGATTAATAGGTGTTACATGTGCAAGGCCTATGAAGAATCATGCAACCACTTGTTACTCCAATGTCCTATGGTGTACAGAATTTGAGAGTATGCGTATGGGATTATAGGGATGAATTGGGTCATGGCAGATAGTGTTAGTGAGGAATTGTGGGCGTAGGTTGGTTTATGTAAAAAAATAAAAAAATATTCCTCATTGGGATTTCTATTATGTGGGTAGTTTTGAGGGAGAGAAATGTTAGAGCTTTTCAAGGTACTGAGACAAACATTGTAATTATAAGGGATAGATAGTTTCATACTTTTGGTTTTATTTTAATTGGTCATGACATATTAAATTGGGAAGATATTTGGCCTGTCATGAACCACCTGATCAACTTGTAATTCTGTGCTTTCGGGTGGTACCCCCTTGGTACCTTCGTGCATAATAATATTTTTTCTCTTTTATCTCAAAAAACAATTGCCAATAGAAAGTCTTCGTTAAAAGAGTTGCTCCATGAGAAAATGCTCAAGTTTTTACTAATAACTGCAAGCTCCAAAAGCCAAATGCCTCTTAAATTTGAGGACTTCTACAGAAGTTTTGAGTGTAATCATCTAATGAAGCTGAGGACTCATCATGTCCTAGCCCTTAATACTTGTATAAATTATAACATGGGAAAACCATGCATCATAAACATCCACATATGCATGAGAACCTGCACGCATGCAGACAAATATTCCACACATTCAGAGAGCTAGAGCCACCGTCAAGCACAACATGATAAAATGAGTGGTCTTGGGAGGGTTAAATGAGTGAACTGCTCTATAAGGGTGTTATTTTCACTGGATTGTGAATCTTATGGTTGGAACAAAATGCCACGGAAGAACCTTTAAGCAATGATTTCAACCACTTCACAATCTTTTAGGTAAAGTGGTGTTCTTTGCTTCTCATTGGACGAGGCTCAAGAATTCATTAAAGAGTTCCCTCATCAACCATCCATGTCCAAGGGGATTTGCCATTTTATCCTAATATTATGTTTGTCTCCTTACATTTTCCTCTTCGGGTTGGAAGTTACCTTATTCTCTCAATCTTGTTTGTAACAGCTTTTTCTTTTCCAGCAATATTTCTTTGTAAGAAACAAATTAAAAAAAAAACAAAGCAACAGGTGTTAAAAGCAAATCCAAGCACAAGTTCATGAATGTTCTCGACTCAAATGATCCAAAAATCCAATAACAGTTCAAGGTTGTATCCCAACAAAACAAAGTGAGCAATCAGAACTTACCATAACAAGCTTTGTCAATTTTCTTTGCGAAGAATCAATATACTGATTAATCTTAGCCCGAGACTTCGGTATCTGATGGCTCTTCATAGCTCCTGAAACCTTATCCACAGTCTTCTTGACAATGGTCTTAAATGCCTCTTTGCTCATATTACCTTGTCGCCAAGATGGCTTCAGGACTTCCTTTACAAATTCTGCAAGGGCAACCTTGAAATGCTTCAATAATCTGGATTCTTTGTTCTTCTTGCCTTTCACTGGAGACTTCAGCTGGTCAATCTCACCCGCATTCATATCAGCTGCATCCACAGGATCACTGTCACTTCCATTCTCTACAGCACCTACTTCTTCATCAGCAGTCTCACCAAATTCCTCATTATCACCAGATGCAGCCGGAGCAACTGCTCCAACTTCTTTTTGCTGCTTGTTCTCTCTAACATTTGGTGGTCTCAACATGTCAGAGCCACCAGCAGCTTCCCATTTCTGCACATCACCAAATTTCTTGGAGAAGTTTGACAATGGTTCAATACTGTCAAAAATTGGATCATACTGGTCACCACCAGATCCTGGAAAATTTTGCCTAAGAGCTCTTCCAGAATTGGGAGAAGTCGCCTGTCTTGATCTAAAACTGCCAACACCTAGTTCATCAGCTGG